GGCCACGAGCAGCAGGGCACCGCGCGGACAGGGAGGCCACGAGCAGCTCCTCGCACCAGGGCCCGAGCGCAGCCGCCGGCGGCAGGAGCAGAGCGGAGCTCCGGTGCAATGTTCGTGTTCGTGGGGTACCCGCACGGCCTGGGCGCGGGCCAGCTCCCTGTGCGGGTATCTGATATTGATGGACCGTTCAAAAGCTGTTAGTGCTTTTACTATTGTTGTTGTTTATTATAACGGTCCATTTGCGCTGACATGTGGCCGCACCAGCTTCCCATGGAGCCCCAGCCTCAGACAGCTATCCAGTTACGCTTGCCTGGTGACTAATTACTTAGCCTGAGTTTTTATTGCTTCTCGGTTCTCACCCTCCTGTGAGTAGCTCTGTTTTTCTCTTGTGAACCCCAGCAGTGGGTTGCTTGTCATCTCTTAATATGCGCTGGTTTGGTTGACCGCTTGTCAGCCCACCGGGTACAAATTCCTCATGGTGAAAAGTCCAGCAGGACTGAGGAGATTTTTCTGATGTGGAAGACCTCAAACTTCAGCGAAGGGGGAGATTTTTCTCTTTAGTCCTATTTCTATTTTAAAATAAACTATACAATTTGTTTCTTTAGTCTAGCTTGCCCCACAAACCATGTTCCTTGCTTCACTGCGCCACAAAAATGATGTGGTTATTCAGTGAGGGTGAATGCGAGCAAAGTATTATTCTGTATTGCTTTGCCTTCTCCATGCTCCTGCCTTGCCTTGCACTGACTAGGACTACATCCAGCATAACTTTAAGGGGAGTAACCAGGGAGAAGGGATTGGAACTGGGCCCCTAAAAAGTTATTTTGAATATCAGGAAGCTTATCTTGCCTCTGCTGGAATGTGTGGTTTCTACCACTTCCCCTGAGAGCAGGCTTGAATATGCAGGGGAAAAGCAATCTGTAGAGACTAAGCCTGCACTAACTTTTCACTGCTGCTTAAATATTACATTTGGTCCTCATCCTAAACACCAGCCCATCAGAAGGACTGGTGCTGTCGCTGTTACTCTGCTTCCATGCCCGTGAGCAATGGGCAGATATTTTCTGATGCTGCTTTCACTTCTTTTGCCAGTGGAGGTGACCTGCCCATTGAATCTGCCATGTATAACAACCTCAGAGTGGACCTATTTTAATGCCATTTTTATTCTTCCTCAAGATCCAAAATGCCCAGGAGATGTAGACCTGCAAAGCAGTGACTGGGACATCAAGACGATCACCAGCTCACTGAAGTTTTATCTCAGGTAACGTATTGGTCTGTACCCGTTTAGAGCACGTGAATGGGCTTGGGAATGATGGTGAGGAGCCGAGTAAGCTGTCAGGTTCAACCCAAGTGACAGGATGCTTTAGGAAGGATATGGGTTTGGGTTTGGGGGACAGGGCTGCAGGAGGGGTCTGGCTGTTGCAGGACCCCGACGCTCGTGGGGTCTGCCTGGGACCGGGTGCCAGGAATCGCTGGGCCTGGAGGGCCCGCGTCGCCTCTGGTCCTTCGGGAGGGCGCGCAGAGGCACCTCCCGGCACTCGCTGTTCCTGTGTCTTGCAGGAACCTGTCTGAGCCCGTCATGACCTACCGACTCCACAAGGAGCTGGTCTCTGCTGCCAGTAAGTCGCACGCTGATGGCCCTGCGCGTTGCATGAGCTGTCATTGCCTCTGTCCGGTGCCGGCGGCTCCCCGAGCACGGAGCGGGTCCTGGGGGAGGCGTCTGGGCCACCCCAGCTCTAGGCGTGGTGGGAAGCGTGTGTGGCCGGTGCCGTGTGCGCGGGCAAGCGCGCGCGGAGCCCCTGCCCCGGGCACAAGTCACCCTCTGTCTGCTCCCCGAGTTCTGGAAGGAAGCTGATGATCGTCCTGCCCCTCTTGCCTTTGATATTCCAGTGCGCTCCCCTCCAACAGCGTTTCGCACTCTGGGAGGTTTCGGACACCCAGGGGATGGTAATTAACAGAAAATAAATCAGCCTAAGAATCCTAGCAAAACCATTTCTCATAATAGCAGTGTATTTATCTTTAATCCTGTCAGGAAATGCAATGTAATTCACTGAGCAGAGAGTTAGATGCTCCCTTTGAGTTGTGAAAATGGTCCTCAATGTTGAATCCAGCGTTTCTGCTGCTACATGCAGTGCATTTTTATGCTGCAGCTCTAGGGACGGAGCAGAGGCAGCGCGAAGCAGCGTGGCTGTTCTGGGAGGGCCTGGCCGGCGCTAACCTGGGCCCTCCTCAGCGCTCCTCTTGTTGTGGCTCCCTGTGAGGAAGCCATAATAATGTAAAACTGGCTGCAGCCGCAGGCTGTGCTGCGAGCCAGCAAGCTGGAGCGGGGCTGCAGGGGCTGCTCATCTTGCTCAGCATGAGAGTGCTGGTGTTTGGAAACTGATAGTACGCGCTGCCATCAACTGTTTTGGATGAGAACATCCTTCATACCCCCACGTCTCCTTGAAGGGGATGGGGAGGAAGGAGCTCAGCCTCTCCTTCAGCTGGAGCCTTGGAAAATTAGTAGCACTTGTTCTTTCTTGTGAAGGAAAATTTTCCACTACCCCACGATTGTGCTTAAGACCAAGATTTATTAGTTTCAAGACTGATTAAACCAATGATGGCTGAGTATGTGTAAAACTCTAATCCCTTCCTTATCCTCTCTCAGAAAGTTGCACCTTTAAGCTTCCCACCTACCAGGATCCCACACTATTCTTTTCACACTGAGTATTTTATTGTTTCTTGATTATTTATGCTGCTTTGGGTGACCTCCTTGGGTCAGGGACTCCATTTTTTCAGGCAGAACACTTACCCGTGGTGCTCAGCACTGTTTCTATCTGGGCTGATCAGAGATCAAGAGACGGGCCAGGGGAATGAGTCAGTCTGTGGCCGCGCTCAGCGCGCGGGTAGAGGTGGCTGCACCAGCCACCGCCCTCACCCACAGCAGAGCAGGAATCCAGCCCCGAGCCCCCTTCCAAGCACCGTGTCCCCTCCTTTGCACTTCATTTTGTTTCTCGCTCTGCTTACCCTGTTGCTATGTAATACTATGTCCCTTCTGCTCCCACTCATGGGGTTTGGCAAGCCAACCCCCTGTTCTTGGGGGAACAGCACCCAGATTTCCTTGGTTTTTACTTTTCCTTTAGCTATTTACTTTAAAATTGACAGTCACAAACTTTTCTTTGCGTTATTCTTTCCAGAATCTGAGAACCTGGATTATAGACTGGGAGCCATTCACGCTCTGGTGTATAAACTACCTGACAAAAACAGAGAGATGTTGGAGCTCCTCATACGACACCTAGTCAAGTAAGCAGAGAATTTTCTCTAATGCCAAACTAAAAGCAATAACAGAGTCAGCCAAACAAGCCTATCTTTTTTTGTGTGTGTGTTTGTGTATGTAGTAGGTTTGTAAAACTCTGTCCAAGACCATCCTCCTAGGAATTTATATTTAGACTGGACAAATGGAGTGGTTGTCCTTGCTATTCAATGCGTTAACTGATGTTTCTCTTTCTATCTGCCAGTTGCATCCCCTTTCTGACAAGTGCCAAGCAGGAAATAATTTTGAAATGTAAATACAGTCTGGCGGAGCAGAGCTGTAAACACGTCGCCCCTCAGTCCAGTTAACAGGAGCATTAGGTCGGGTTTGGAAATAGCTGTAAGACCTGTGCCCGTGGGCTGACCGTGACGCGTGTTTTGGGTTCACCTCCAGCTCTGTGGACTGTTGAGTCCCTGCAGTAGCATGAGGGACTGAGGATACAGGTAGGAGAGGAGTCCCATGGCACTGCAGAGCTGCGTGCCCGCTGGCTTCTGCGTGTGAGTCGCTGACAAAGCGGTTAGTGGTGACTGGCACCACAGTGAGGTGAGGGCTGCACGTGGAGAATCCGCTCTGCGCTCCCCGTTGCGGTGTGGGTGACGGAGGGAGAGGCTTGTGGGCGCTGGCTGTCCTGGGGATCCCAGCTCAGATCCATTCCTAGCCCTGCACGTTATCAGTTGATTACATATTTTTCTGTCAAGTGGCAGGACTGAGTGTGTCTGGCTCACAGTCTGATGTAGCTGACACTTCTTGGAGCCCCCTTTACGCTAACAGAGCCCACTTGAACAGCACAGCTATGGGGCAAGCCTAGATATCATTCGATTTCAGCACCTAAGTCTCTCTGCTTGAGTCCCAGACCTCGAAGGCTGTTCCCCTTTTGAGAACATGTAGCTGCCATGGAATTGCTTAGTGCTTCACTGGCTGGTTGCTGCTGCTCCGCAGGTCTGCGCGTTGCTCCAGAACTTGAAGTCTGTTGAATAAAGACTTTTCTGTTCACTGGAAACTGTGGCTCTTTCAGGAAGAAGATGATACAGAAATTTTTTGAAAGTCCTTCAAAAGTATTCTCCTTACAATGGGTTCTCCTCCTTTAAAAGAGGAAAAATTAAAGCCAAAAGTCAATCTGGAGTGAATAGGATATGCCAAATTAAATGATTCCTTCTGGTGCACAGATGGCTTTTGTTTGTGATGTTAAAAGAGGATTTAGGTGTTTGAAGGGATAGGACAGCAGCACTGTCAGCACATTGCCCTCTCAGGCTGTTGTCCCAGTCAAAGAGGATATATGTCATAGTCACAAACATGTTTTATCTCTAGTAGGCCTAGGAAGCAAATTCTGCTGAACATAATAAAGAAAATTGAATTAGTGATGCACATTGGCTCTTTTAAATTGCTTCAAACAAGATACAACTTAAAATAAACAAAAAAAAATCTGTTCCTTCTCTCCCCCCTCTCTGCAGCATATGTGAACACAGCCGAGAGAATCTGATGTCACCGTCTAACATGGGGGTAATATTTGGACCTACCCTCATGCGTGCACAGGAGGACACCGTAGCAGCAATGATGAACATCAAGTTCCAGAACATCGTAGTTGAGATCCTCATCGAGCATTTTGCAAAGGTATAGAGGGCACAGATGGCAAAGGTATAGATACAGGAGCTCATGCCCAGAGCTCACAGCTGCTGTGTCCTGGCCACGCAAAATGTTGCTCTGGCAACAGTTTAAGGGATTTGACTCCTTTTTCTGGATTTATTTGATAATATACTGTAATTGCTGAAATGCATCAGAAGCTATTGAAGTACAAACAGGTATGTTTATACCAGCCGGGCGGCGCGAGCGGGAGCCTGTGGTGTTGAGCAGTGCAAGCAGGAGGACAGAGCTCGAGAGGCCTTTGGGAACGCGCCAGCAGCTCATGGGGCAGCGTGCCGGTGTCTTTGCAAGTCACTGCGAACACTTGCACAGCAGCAAAGCAGCTCGCTGCGCGCGGGCACCTGCAAACAGGCTTGAGAACAGCAGCTCTCTCTTCCCTCTTGCAAAGCCTACAGTTCAGGCTGTGGCCAGCAGAGAGAAGCCAGAGTAAACGTATAATTTACACTGTCACCACTAAGATCTGGAATTAAATCTTTAATTAAGTGAGACATCTTTTTGCTTGCTTTTAATTTCTTCAGTGATAAGGTTAAGTTAGGAACATTTATTAGATTGAGCTTGTAAGTGCAGCTTCAGAGTTGAAAATGTCTTCAGCTCACACATAAGTAAACATTTGAAATGAAGCTGAAGGAAGAGAAAGATATTATTTATCTGGTGCAATATGAAGAAACCAAGGACAAAGTAACTATTTATGAAGTCTCTGAATAATTACTGATTCCACAACTTATATTTCAGTGCTGTGGTTAAATTAAATAAATCGATCCCTCTGGAAATACCTTCTTCCCTGTACAAACCTTCCAAATAGAAGATTTGGTCAATAACTTTGTACTTTCAAATTGTTTAACTTGGCTTTTCATTTAACAGGTAGATGAAAGCAGAGGCTGCACCACAGCTTAAAAACAGTGGTTGGTGGTGCATCTAGTAGGAGTTCAACTGTCCTTGAAAGGCATATAAACAGCATTCTGTGGTAGCTCCTTAAGAATTAATGGGGAACTTTACACTTTTTCTTTCTCTTTAAAAAACAATATTGGACTATATATATACACGTGTCAGTGTATATGAATGAGGTTGATTTTTTTTTTTAAATGCCCTGCTACAGATAAGTTGTTGCTATTTTAATAATCCATTAGCTGGTGGTTTTAAATCATGGGCTGTTAAAGTCTCAGCAAATTCCTGTGAATGCCGGCACAAGGAGCACCCTGGGCTCCTGTATTGCAGGATGGAGGAAATGTGCTTGCCCTTGCAAGGACGAGGCTGCCATTAAGCATCAGCAGCCAGTCTGGGTCCCCAGACCCCAGGAGGAAGGAAGCTGAAAGGATCGGATCAGTTTGGATCCGGATCAGTTTGGTTCCTTAAGGAACCTTTTCCTTAAGCTCTGCAAGAGGAACCGCAGACACAGCAGCAGTCTCTGTTGTTGCCAGTCTCTTCACAGGGGCAAAGTCAGGCGCAAAGGCTGAGGACCAGTGCACGGCGCTGACACCCAGCTGGCTGAGTTAGAAATATGGAAAAATCGCTCGAGGTGGATTCAGATCCGAGCCCACGCGCTGGGCTGGGACACTCGGGGACACCCGGGGAGTCAGGCTGCAGAAAGGACTAGCGCCATTTCTCACTTGCCTACATCCTGCATCTTTACAGTTTTGCTTTTCTCTCCTCCAGCTTGATTTCCTAGAATTTGACTAGGAAAAGAAAGAAAGAAATAGTGTGGGTTTGTTTTTGTTTTTTTAGGAAATGGCATCTGTAATCAAAATGTCCCTTAGTTTTCAAATACGCCTGGGTCGCGCTGCGGAGCTGCCCTCACAATGAGCCGTGCCCCGAGGGAGCAGTGACGTGCACGCAGCGGTCAGTGCAGCGTGACCCCCTCCCGGGGCTGCGCCACGTCCGGGGTTTGGCGGATACCCCCATGGCGGGACCAGTCCTTCTCAGGCTGGAATTGCAGCCTCGGGCCTCGCAGCCCGGCCTGCATGGGCCATAGGAACTTACTTTCTTAAAGCCTGGTCAGTTTGTACTCAGGGAAGGAATACAAAACCATTTGAATTGGGGCCTTAATGTGGTATTTCACATCTTTTTTGAAGATGTAAAATTCCCAACTTCCCAAATGTTTAATTCTTTTTCATATGTTAAAGAAGCACTGGAGAACATCTAAATTAAACCCAAGCAAAGAGGGGCCATGTGGATAATGTCAAAGGGAAATAGATCTCTAACCAGTTGTTGTTTTTATGCCATTGTTTTATCCAAGATCATTTTATAATACATATACTGCGGGCGAAGGCAAGACCTGAAGGGTTTTTTTAAGATTAAGTCTAAAACAATGTGGTGTTTTGTTTTGCTGCTTTCTTTAGCTTGAATTGCCTCCCTGGTATGGCAAACTTGCTGTTCCCGGCAAGCATGGGCTCCGGGGCCTGTGCGGCTGCTCCGAGATAGTTTGTCCTTGCAGATGTTGTCTGTGTTGGTAGCTCTGCTGCATCAACCTGGCTGTGGCAGCGCAGAGACCCGTGTGAAGGCGTGGGGCACCGTGGCACCGTGCGCTGACCCTGGGGGACCCGCTGTGACTGGCGCAGCCCCGACCCTGTCCCCGCTTGGCCCTGCTGGCCCCGGTGTCGGCGTCGCGGGCCGAGCGCCGGCGGTGCTGCCGTGCAGCGCCTTCCCGCAGCCCGGCCCGGAGCGCCGACATTCCCAGATCCGCCAGGACAGGCGGCACGTGGTGCCAGGGGCTGCCCTGCACAGCGGCCGAGTCAAAGAACTGCCCGGGTCCAGCACGGTTGGCCCTGCTGCGGGGGAGACCCCTTGGTATGTTCCCTTCCTCGTGCCCTTGCTGCGTTCCCTTCCTCGTGCCAGGCGCTGCCTCTGCCTCCGGAGGCGCTCGGAGCCCGAGGCTGGGAAGGGCGGCCAGGGCAGCGTCAGCTGCGGCGGCCCGTCGGCTCTCCCGCTTTTGGAGGCAGCCGCAGCCTGCAGGGAGCTTTGGCTGCGCGTGGGCAGCCGCTGCTTTGCGATCTGGTGGTGACGGGGAAGGTGACGGCACCGAGCAGGGGCAGGGGAGTCTGCACCGCGTGTCCGGCCGCCCGGAGGGGTGACCCGTTCTGCTCAAACCGCCTTCCTCGCCGAGCGCGTTGGATTTTACGTGCAAGCATCTTCAGTTGCAAAGATGCCTTTCAGTGAAACTAGATTAGTGAGAAAACCTTTGAAAATGTCATTTGGGCTGGTAACACGGAGGGAATCAGTGAAAGCCTCTGTCTCCCTGCAGATCTACTCTGGCCCCCCAGAAGACAGCGCGGCCCCGCCGGTCCCGCCGCCGAGGGTGACTGCCCGCAGGCACAAACCCATCACCATCTCCAAGCGGCCACTGCGGGAGAGGCCCGTCTTCTTTGGGGCTTCCGTGGGAGAAGGCGAAGGTGAGTGAAGAGTTCGGCTGCTCCCTGGCACCCTGTGCCCCCCTCACCCCAACTGTTTTTGCTGTCACCTCTGAGGAGCAATGGAAAGCAGGAATAGCTGAACACGTGAGACAGCGAGGTCCCTTGTCCCCCACCCAAGGGAGGTTCCTTGTCCCTAGTGAGAAAGGAAAGCCCTACGTGAAGCACTCACATGTAGGCTGCATCATGCCACAGGGATTTTTTTTTTTTTTTATCACTTGCAACATTCACATTTAGCTGAGCTAAAATATCTGCTTCTTGCACATGAGAAGCCCAGGAAGAAAAGGGATTTTACAGCTTCCCAGGTGTTGGTGCAAAGTAATGGGAGCAGAAGTGAGAGGCAGAGGTGGGATGGTGCAGCCGGGGGTGTGAGTGCTGCCTGTGCTGTCCAAAAGCACGTTAGTCCTGGGAGAAGTCGTGAAGGTGGCTGAGCCATCGATAATTTTACATTCCAAGTAAGAACATGGAAGCACTGCTTTTCAGCACCTAGTGATAGTATTTCCTAGACCAAGTACAAATCTGCTGTTAAATCCATTCAATCGTAAAGAAATGATGAGGCCCCTATTATTCATTGAAGGACACATCAGCATAAAGTCGTGTTTCTCTCCGCACCTGGTTTGCTCTAATTGTTGCTGCAAGCTGTGCCCTGGAGCATGTCATCACCAAAAGAAATTACAAGTTTTTTTCTCTGTTAAATTTTTTTAGAGCTTTAGTGATTTTTAGGCTTAATCCTGCAAGTGTACATCTTGGCATCAGCGCAACGTAAGTGAACAAATAGCTCTTTAAAATCACAAGCTTGGCCATGTAGTTAAAGATGACCTTGCATTTCAATGTTTCTCTGAATTAGGAGCAAAAACGTTAGCGTTTGGCGGCAGCGAGTCTGCAGGGCACAGTTGATTGCCTGGCAGTGATTGTGCATTTGTGTCACGAGCATGGCCAGAGGGATGAGACAAGTGCTTTTGGGAGGAACACAAGCACCTGGTCCTAAGCTGCAGCGTGAGAATCATGAGCAGGAGGCCTGCAGATAGAGATATATATATAAATAACTGTCCTTTCCCTAGTTGCTAGCTGTTACTAGGCTACATTCAGTGCTGTTGCAGCCTCATTTTCCCTCAGCACTGGTGGAAGCCGTTGCTGTTTGTATTTGCTCAGCACGAGGCGCTGGCGTGGCCGAGGAGCCGGCTCGGACCGTGGCTCCAGCTGCGTTGTGCACCGGGAGGCCCTGGGGCTGGCGCGGGGTCCGGGTGCCTCTGTCCTGCTTCACCTGCAGTTTGTCCCCTCTCTGTCGCTTCCGCAGGGGACGTCTGGACACAGGCGCTGAACGGTGCTGCGGTGGGTGCCGAGGCGCCGCGGCCGCTGCTGCGGAGCCGCGCGCCAGCGCCGC